TGAGAGTAGAGTCGGTGTGACTTTCCCTAGATCACACAGCTGCGACTGGTCTGAGATCTGGGCTCAGATCGTACGGGAATATTATCAACGGTTTCAGAAATGGTCGTTATGCATTGAAGGGTCCTCTGGTAGCTGGTTAAAAAAGGAAAAGGGGGAACGATACAGACTTTGTATGAGTCTCCGTCTATAAATGTTTTTGTGTTGTCACTTATTTGTCTTATTTCATTTTTGTTTTTGTTTCTCCTCACAAGACTCAGAAGCCTCCCAGGGACAGCAACTAATTCCCACACCCCCGACTCTGGTCTGGGCTCTGTTCTTCAGGGGAGCAAGAGCTGGACGAAAGGAGCACGACTCCCCTCTAGTCACAGAGACGTACTGGACTGCTAGGTCCTGGGAAACTTTCCCAGGAACTGTCCTATTGCTTCATCATCACTGGGGATTAGGTAAATTGTTAAAGCCCCAGGCCTTTGTGCTGGCTTCATAGCCCCAGAAAATGTGTCAGCAAAGCTACTTCCTACTTGTAAAACCCTTTCGCAGAAATGGTGGCTCATGACAGGCCTGCAACAATGTAAGGAATTTTTACCAAGAGCTTGGAGGCTGGACTGTTGGAGGAGAGGTTAGCAGGAAGCCCAGGATAACCGAGAGGCTGACTCAGAGGCAGTTGCCGGCCACCTGAGAGGAGAGTTGCTTCACCCAGTCCTGGGAAACATGGACTCATGGCCTGATGACCCCTTTGGAATTCTGAGTGTCTTTAGTGTACGGAGTGAGAAAAAAGATACAGAGAATCTTCCTGGATTAGGGGAAACAGAAGGGGGGGATGCACACACGAAAAATGTCAAGTGGTTGGTAAAGGCAAGGAACAGGCGTCAGTGGTGTGATGGTTAATTTATGTCAACTTGGCTGGGTCACGGTGCCCAGATACGTAGTCAAACATTATTCTGGGTATTTCCAGGAGGGTGTTTTTCATGGAGACTAACATTTAAGTGAGTAAAGCAGATTGCTCTCCATAATGTGGGTGGGCCTCTTCCAATCAACTGAAGGGCTGAGTAGGATAAAAGACCGAGCTTCCGGAGCAAGAGGAAATTCTACCAGCAGACAGCCTTCACGTGGACTTGTATGACAGCACTGGCTCTTCCCTAGGCCTCCAGACTGATGGCCTTAGAACCTGAACTGCTTAGGATGAGACTTGGCAGCCTCCATACTTGTATGAGCCAATTCATTCAAATAAATCTCTTGAGATAGATATATATCTCCTATAGGATCAGTTTCTCTGGAGAACCCTGACTAATACAGGCGGGTTGTAGTCCTCAGGCTTCAAGAAAGGGACCTGAAGCTGGTGAACAAAAGCCAGCGATAGAGCACCAAGCCATACTGTGACTCCATTTGGCAAGGTACTTGGGTACTGATCTCACTCCTGGCTTCTTAATTTTCCAACATTACTTTCCTCTTGCCAACTTTTCTTACTTTTAATTGAATATATCCTAATATATTTTATGTGTTATTATAAATCACCTTAATTCCTTTTCAGGATAAGTTAGAAGTATAAATAAATAGATCCTCTTTATTTGAAGCAATTCTTTAAGGCTAGATTTAGATTTCTACATAAAAGGAAGGAACATATGAATTATCCAAACCTAAGAAGAAAATCATGAGGAGAGACAGAAGTCCAATTGTGTGTGAAAGTATCTTAGTAACAGAAGAGAAAGTATTGAAGTTAATCCAAAGGATAAAACATCAAACCACAGAGATGTAAGCAAGAACCAAAAACTCTCTTAAAAAATTAAAAAAGGTGAGTTACAAAATGGAAAATGAGTTTGGTGTTAGTATGCCTACTTAAATTTTTGTGAAAATTATCAAATTAAAAATACTTTCTGGTGGGAGAAAATTAAACAGTTCAAGGATACAACATAGTTAATGCAAACACGATGCTATGCTATCTATGTACATATGCTTTTCAAAATGTGTATGCTTCTAACTCCAAATTAATAAAAATCCAGGTAAAATTTCATGCTACGTCAAAAAGAGGAGCTTAGGGCATTTCTGACTTTATTTCCGATTATAATGAGACATTAAAAAATAATGAGGAACAAACAACAGTGAACTCAGAATGTCACACCACAAAAGTAGAGAGAGCAGGAGTGAGAGGGCTCCACCCACCTGCCCACATGAGAACCTGGCCGGTGAGAAACCAAACCATGTAACAACTCTGAGAGAAAGCCCACAGACTTCATGAAGAAGCATCCTTCATCTAGGAACTCGTTTTTCCCAAACAGAAAGTGTCCTTCAGTCAGTCTCCTTGCTCTCCTGTGTCGTATCTCACCAACCCCACCAGGAATTAATGATGCTGTACGGGCAGCACAAGGATTGTGTGATCGTCAGTCCGGGGAGGCCAGATATTTTCTTCCAAGCCCCAGGCTGGCTCATTCCTTCAGCTGAACTTCCTCCAATTTGGAGGGGATTAAGGGGGAGCGGTGAGGAGTTGTGGGATTTTGTTCTTTCACTGGGTAACTTTCATTTCTATTTGTATTCTATTGATTGCCAAGGAAACCATGTTGAGGTTTTCAACCACTGGTAGCTTCAGCCCTTCAAGTTGTCATTAGAATAGAATTTGAAGAAAACTAAGTAGAGCTATAAAAACCAGAATATGTTTTTTTTTTTAGGTTTCTTTCTTTACAAACACAACTATGCTTAAGTTCCTCTATAACTCATGAGATGCTTTTGTGGTTGAGCCAGAGGGCTGCTGTGTTTAGAGAACATAACCCCAGAAACGGTGGTCAAGTCGTTAGATGGTCATTGACTTCAGTATAACTTATAATCTCCCAAGCAGAAACTTTAAAGAGGTCACACATCTGAGACACTGTCCAGCACTCCACCTCTGAAATACCTTCCCATTATGCCTTGACATGTATGAAATCTGTGACTGTAGTTTGAATTTTATGAATAAAAATTTTACTTACCAGCATAGATAGAAAAGAAACTTTAGTGCCACACTGAAAGTTCTACGAACCTTGAAGAATTATTAGAACCTATGAAGTAACTCTTTTCTATGACTATATTGATCCCTTAAACTAGTTAGAAGATAACATGAATTTAATAAATCTTAACATGAGGTTAAAAACAGGAAGAGGTCTTTAAAACACTGATAAGGTGATGGCAACTCATGATTTAAAAAAATCAATGGAAAGTTCTTTCTGATAAAAAACACCTATCTGATAGGAAAGTATATATAATGAAAACAGTGTTTTGAGATCTTAAGAAAATTCATGGCTTTTACTTTACAATTTTTTAAAATTAATCTAATAAATGCAAGCAGTTAAAAACAAAATCAAAGGCTTAAAATGAGAAACACCAATTCTCCGTCCCATGGGTATACAACCCTAGTCCTGCTCTCCAAAATCAACAACTTTTAAGTCTTCCAGATTTATCTTTTGTTTACCTCTACATTACTAAATAACTAGAGGTCTGTCTGTTGTCTTTGCTTCTCTCTCTCTTCTCAGATATTTGGAGATTTCCCTCAAATCTTTGATGATCCATGCCCTTAAAGAGGCACTAAAAATTTGACTGAGGGATGGGGTAGTGGGGGTGGTGATGAGAGGTGGGTAAAAGAAAGAGCTAATCATTGTGGGGTGAAAATATCAAAGCTCCCTCCCAGGGTAAAGATTTTGTTTTTGTTTGGTTTTTTTTTCCCTCTAGGACTATTCTATAAAATTGTTTTCTGGAAAAGAGCCCTGGAATCTCCTGCCCAGCTGGAGGCCAAATTCCCCTGAAGGAAAGGGGTAGGCAGTAGTCAGTGGCTCACTTTTCAAGAAAACCCCTATTTTCAGTGCCAGCCTGTCCTCTGCCTCTGAAGGTTTTAAATAACAGAGGGAAGTACTTAAGATATAAAGTTAAGGGGGGAAATTAGGAGACAAAATTGTACACACAGTATGATTTAACTAAATTCAAATATGCATGAAATAGCTAGCAATATACCAACATATTGAGAGGTTGTGGTTATTTCTGAACGGTGGTATAAAATGTGATGATTATTTCCTTCTTGATACTTGTATTTTCTAAAATTGCCACAAAGTACAGGCATGAATTTAAATTTAGGGGAAAAATACTTGGTTTTAAAGAAACACATATCAGGATGCCAAAAAGAAAATCCAGGAAGGTAGGTACATGTTGCTATCAGAATTTAAAAGAATTTTTCTGCCCCTAGTTTAAAATGTATAATTAAATATTTAATATATTAATATTTAGAAAATATGAGGCTATTAAGAAATATATTGAAATACTGAAATGGCCCCTTGTGTAAAAGAATCCAGTTCAAGAAATAGGACACTGCCTAGTTGAAGTGAAGTCGAGGTGAAGCCCTCGGAAGCCCCACCTCGACCCTTCTGCCCACTCCCCAGAACCTAGGTTTGTCCTTGGTTTTTCATCAGAGTTTTATCACCTAAGAACAGTCTATGGCCTAGCTCTGCATCTTTTGAATTTTACACAAATGGAATCATGTCATATGTATTATTCTACAGGTTGCTTTTTTTTTCACTCTATATGTTTTTTGTGGATAATTCTGGTTTATATTTTTTATCTACTGAATACTTCTATTATTACATCTTTATTCAACATCTTAGTTCTCCCTTTCTTTAGACAGCATCCATTAGTTCCCTCTAAAACCAATGAGAAATTAGCATATTTCCATTTCCTCCCCTGTGACTCCAGCCAGAGGTAAGACAAACTTAAGTGTTCTTATGTTTTCTTTCTTTACTTTATCAAGATATTCTGTGTTCTGACTTTTCCAATTACATGTTTAGTCCTTAAAAGCATAAACATGTATTTGTATTCGTACAAGCAAATTTTGAATTTTTTTGATCCTATGTCACTAATTTCACACTCCCCCAAATATCCTTGCTTATTTGTGAATTAAATATACACATTAATGTACTAATTTATTATGAATAAATAATTAAATTACAAACAAAAATAGAACTTTTGAAAGGATAAAAATGTTTTCTTACCTTTCCTCACTGAAATATCACATGCACCCCCTGGGGTATAGACACCCTCCCGATTTAGATGAGTAGTCCTCAGCCTTTTCAGGATCATGCATCCTTTTGAGGGTGAAATTAGCAATACAGACTCTAAGAAAAATGCACACATTTTCTCATGATTTCAGGCAATTCACAGTTCTAGGAACTCAAGGTGCACACTGTACTTTACACATTCAACATTACTGGGATGACAGACATTTCCAACTTCAGACTGTCTCTGTAATCAAGACAGAAATGAAACACCATGGAGCCATCTGACGAGATGTAAACATCACTGCTTGAATAAATATGTAATAACTCCTTTAGATAATTTCTCCAACAATTCCATGGTTCAGTGAGGAGAGCTCTCCTTTCTCTCTCATCTTCTCTCCTTTCCTGCCTCCTTCTCCTCTTTTGCTGTCCTGTTCTCTGCCTCTCTCTCACTGTCCCCATCTCCGTATTCTCTTCCTCCTTCTCTTCAGTTTCTCCTCCTCCCCACCCACCATCCAGCAAAACAAAACTCTCATGATATACTGGAGCAAATGGGCTCCACCTACTGGCTCTTCAAAGCATTTCATATTTAAACACAACTTGAGAAACTGGAAACACTACCTGGCATGTCAGTGGAAATAACTTTATGACCTAAATTTCAGTACCTAAGAAGACCTTGGTAATTTATCAACTAGGATCATTTCTAAAAATCTGAATTTAATTCCTGATTTATCAAACATGTTACTTGGAGCATGTGCTATTTTAATAGATCCTCTTATATGTGGACACATAGTTAATGTTTTAACCCTGATTACAACTGAGACAGGAGGGAAAGGGCAGGGCACCACCACTGAAGGAATGACACAGCAATTGAGAACAGGACAAACTGGTTAGAACCAAGATGGTGGAAAATTCGACTTCTAGTAGACCTTGAGCCTCATGACACACCCACAGGCGCCATGACAGTTCCTAGGTTGACCATAAACGGCCAGAAAGCGGGCAGGGGCCCAAAGTAGTTAGATTAATTCTCCTACTCACTAGCGTATGAAATTACTGAGCCCATTAAAACCAACAACTCCCCCCCTCTGTGGTCACTCTCTCTCTTGCCTTCTCAGCCTCGCTCTTGAATTGTGTCCTGTGCAAGGCAAGAACCTATTCTCCAGCAACACAATCACACCCAAGTTGTCCCTTTTGATTCCTTTCCTCCCTACTCCAATGGTTCAGTGAGCTGCTCTCAGGACCCTTCCCAACACCTCTTTCCCTGACCATTTCTCCACCCTCAGTTCAATCTTTGACTCTCCCTTCTTAATTACACTGCACACACTTCCTCAAATGGCTCACCTACTTCTCCAATTCTCACCTTCACAAAAACAGTCGGCAAATATACGTTTCTAGCTGAGCTCTACACTCACATCTCCAAATACTGGTACAGATACTTTGCAGGCATGTCAAGCTCATCAAATCCACTCTCCTTATTTGTTTAATGGCATCCAACCTGTTCCAGTCATCCACTGCTATTTAACTAGCCACTCTAAATTTAGTGACATAAAAGGGCAGCCATTCTATTATGCTCACAGATTCTGTGAGTCAGAAATTTTGTCTGATAGGGCGCAGCAGGGACTGCTTGTCTCTGCTCAGCTAGAGCTGAGAACACTATCTTCTGCTACTGCAGGAGAGATACGACTTCTCCCTCACATAACTAAAACAGTGGGAGAGGTAAAGATGAAAAGCAGGTGCTTGTTCTTTGTTCCACAGAACCATTCACATTATTTTTAAGGACCACTCTCTTGTTGAATAGCATGTAAGATCAAGGACACATTAAAGAATTAAAAACTACTTGCAGCAATAGTTAATGGGTATTGATATTGTAGACAAAGAATGTTGCCTGGCTTATCAGTAAACAAAGGATGCCATCAGCCACTGCAGTTGTCCCCAGTAGTGCACCCTGAGGGGATTCAGGATGGAGAAAAACAGGACACTGGCTTTACATAGTTCAGATACATATCAAAGGAGTAATTTCAAAGCCAAGACTTGCATTTTCCCATACAAAGAAAGACACTAAAATTATTAACTTGAGATGTCTGGGGTTTTCTTGTGATTGGCAGTAATCTTTTGATGTTTAATTACATGGTTTTTTAGGAGTCTTTTGTTTGTTTTGGTTTGGTTTTTTTTTTTAACGAAAACTCCCATATATCCTACCTCCTCCCCTACTTCTTTGGGACTGTTCCCTAGAGCAATCTTGAGAGGCTGCTGTCCTGGCTATAATTTCAGTAAGGTCACTAATAAAACATAATTCTCAACTTTCAGGTTGTGCATTTTTTTCAGTTGACAATATCCATATTATTAGAAATATTCTTTGAGGATATCTGCCAAATTAGTTATTTTTAATAGTTAAACTATAACCTGAATTGTAATAAATTGATAAATTGGTTTGAAACTCTGCATGTAATACTCAGGGTTAGAAAGATGGCAAGCAGTAGGCATGGGGGATTCTAAAAGCCTCAGGCTGCCTCGTCAAATCAGAAAATGGAAGCAACGCTGACCAGCACTAAGCGCAAATAAGCATAGATAAATCACTATGAAGATTTTCACTTACAAATGCATTATTCATTTGTTGCTAGGTAACAGAGGCGTTCGACTGGTACAACTTGATTGTGAACTTTAGTTTGGTACCTCCCTACCCACTTCATAAGCACATACATCCATGAGAGTCAATGCTGTATCTCTAGATAATCACAAAACCAGCTCGCTTTCCTAAGGGACTGTCAACTCATTGAAACCATGATGGATTAGATTATGCCTAGTTTTATGTTCAAACATGTTTTGAAATGTGAACAGGAATAGGTGAAGGATACTTTAAAATACTAACGAGTTTAACTTCTAGAATCAAAACCAAGTACACTTATTGGAAGATAGAATGCAGTTTAATTACCTTGCTCTGCTGGTATATGCTGGTGTGTATCTGGCATAAAACCACCTGCAGAAACAAGTCTGTGAGGTTTTACGTTGCATGACCCATGACTTGGATTCAGGTTATAATACAAAGGTATTTAGTGAAGCAATATTGTAAATGTCCAAGCTCCCTAACTTAAATGTGGTAGTACAGGTTTACTATGAAATTGGAACTTACACATGTGTGTCTTTGGAAAGAAGGACCAACTTTTTTTAAATGTAGGATTTCAAACACATAGTTAATACTTGTGGCAGAGATAGTACAAACATCCTTAAAATTTTTTCTAAATGGGCTCTTAAGAGATGTATACTGGGAACCTCAGTCTTCACAGACCAGGAATGAGACAGTTATATAGAAAGTCAAACAATATTGCAAAACAATGTTGGAATACAAAGGTTAACAGGTCATTCATAAGGTAGCAGACTTTATAAATGAGAAAAAGACCCACCTTAAATATTTTGAAATAAGTGTAGTGTGCACTGAATGACTATGAAGCCAGACTGTGACGACAGGAATACCAAAGGTAAAATGCACTGAGAGGGATGATAAGAGATTCCAAGCAGAGAAAGCAGCCACCTGAGCAAAGGTCAGATGGAAGAGAATTAAGGGCATGTTCAGGAAAACGGTGAGTGACGAGCAGGGGAGGAATGAAGGAGAAGATAAGGCTGAAAAGCGAGGTTTGGGTTCAAATGGTAGATTGCTTTCAAAGTCAGGCTTAATTCAGAAAGTTTTCTGTAGGACAAGGGAGGATGCTTAGAATATTAGAGGAGGGCAATAATAATGGGATTTGGGGAAGAAATTCTGAAGGGAGAGAATGGAGGTCATAGTGACCAAAGGCAGGTAGGGAATTGCAAATATTCAGGTGAGAGGGAATGTGGGACCAAAGTAGTGGGTGGCGGGCAGAGGCAGGAAATAAGGAACATTTCAAAGGTAGACTCAATGGGATTTGATTTGAGCAATGAATGAGAGAAAGTCAAATTATTTTGTGGTTTTGGTCGTGAAAGGCTACGTGGTGGTTTTCATGATGACCACAAATCCTTGACACTCCTCCCATTGAGAAACTCTGGGATCTAATTCCTTCTCTTTGAATTGGGAGCTGGTCTTAATGACTCACTTGTAACCAATGGAATGTGAAGGAAGTGGCATTACATAATCCCTGGGATTAGATCAGAAGGCAACCGCCTCTGCCTTGATGGGTAGAATGTGTGTTGTGAGCCACCTGTAGGCACTAGGTCCACAGTCCAAGCTAAGCCTAGCCTTCCCACAGACATGTAAGTAAAAAACCAGCAGATGATTCCAGCATTGATAAATTTTAACAGCAAAAGACTCCTGGAAGGATAAATCATTAAAAAAAAACCATTATTTGGCCTTCTAATCTGGTGCTCTTTAGCAGAAGTTTTTATCTCATTAATTACTCAGTTGAATAGGTGGGTAAGTAGAGAACAGTGATGGGTATAAAGTGGTGGTTAGAAATTTGCTCCAAAGCATTTATGTCCCACCCCCAAAATTTCCATGCCTTATGACCACCAATACACATGTTCAAGGCATTTGGAAGTGTATGCTGTGCCTCTAGTAGACTCAGACATCAATATAAATTTGGAAGAGAAATTTAAGTTTGGCTAACAGCAGAATGATTTTCCAATAGTTACACAATGCTGTCATTTTTTCCCCATAGTCTCATCTGTAAGAAAAAGACATGATTATTGAAGAGTATGAAAAACAATATGCACAGAAAAGTTTTGAAATTTCTTCTTAGTCCAATGTCCAGACCCCAATAGCCCTAAATACGACTAAATAGGCTGGCAAAACTATATGATAGGGACTTATTCTGTAAAAGGTAAATTGAAGTTTATTTGAACATTTGTTCCCACATGTGTGTATTATGGGATCGTTGGGGTATTTTTCCCATTTAATCAGCTTTGTTGAAGTATAAATCATAAAACCATGGAATTTTATTGTGCGTAAGTGTCAAGTTCCATGAGTTCTGATAAATGTATACAGTCTGATACCCACTACAATCAATACATAGGACACTTCTACCACCTCAAGGTATTTTGTTCCGTCACAGTCAATTCCCCAGCCCCAGACCCTGGCAACCACTGATCTGCCTTCTGTTTCTAGGGTTTTAACTTTTCCAGGTTTTCATGAGGAGTTACACAGTGAGTGCTATTGTGTCTGACTTCCTTCATTTGCAATAATGCTTTTTTGATATTCACCCACGTTGTTGCATTTATCAATGAATGTTCTTTCTCACTGCTGAGTACTATTTTAACGTATGGATGTATCATAATTTATTTACCTATTTATCTGCTAATGGGCATTTGTATTATATCTACATTTTGGCTATTATGAATAAAGCGCCTATGAAAATTCAAATATAAAACTTGTATGTTTCTTGGATAAAATATTTAGAAATGAGGAATAGCAGTTTTAGTACTAAGAAATATTTATCTTCCCTATATCAATTATTCTGAAAAAAAAAAGAAAAATACAAACGTTTCTTAGTCATAGTTCAAAATAAAATTTATCAGCACATCTGGGGGAAGACAGTTAAAGAATTCACACATTTTCTAGCCCTAACAAGTCACACAAAACCATACATTCAACATATTCCAAGAAAATGCTTAATAATATGTACAAAGATACTATTCCTTACAAATTTCAATGTTATGAATAAAATAAAATACACTTCATATTATTACATGAACAAAGAACTTTAATGTGATTTTCTCTTAAGAGCAGACTTACAGAATCTCTAATTTTAAAAAGGGATAATTTCAATTAATCCATCTTCAAAGAAATTTATTTACACAATGCCTACAAGCTTCTCACACTAGCTGTCTGCTTTAATTAAAGAAATGTTTCCCAAATGAGAAACAGCTCCTAAATTCACAACATCCCCAGGACTGTTCTTAGTTTAAACCTCCACATAGAAATGTCTGCAATAGAAATTTTTAGATATTAGAATCCAAGGTTACAAGCTTTCCCATTCAAAAGTGCAAAGAATTCCAACATTAACAAATTATAGTTCTACAAAAATCAAAATTACAACTTAGATGCCCCTTGTTTAAGTAACAGTGATCTCACTTTAGGGTTTAACTATAGGTTATCATTGAATTGTAACACATGCAGAGATTAAGAAAATTTCAAGTATTCTTAAATATCTATCAATATAAAAATGAGTGTTTCACAATAATATGATCGCTAGAGAAAGACATATAAAAATTATGATCAAAGAAACTTCAGTAATGACAATGTAGAATTTTCATCTTCATTTCCAGTTGCTTTCTAAAATTACTAATAAGTCTCAACTTCACTGAATTAGTGAAAATAAAATTTATCCCACAGATTTTTGTGGCAGAACCTTTATAAAACACATGAAACAAAAATAACATGAGAAGTTTCCTGATAAAAATTATAGTATCTAGATCTCTTTAACCAGTTCTTGGAAACTTAATGTCATTGTTTGTAAACTAGTCATATAAAATGATTCTAAAAGTATGAATGAGTTTTCATCAAGCAACTGACTTTGACAAGCTGCCATCTCACCAGCCATCACTGACAGCACCTAATGGAAACTTGCAGTGCTTAAAACACATTTCACCACCTGCCAAGGAGGCAGACTCCAGGTAGAGAAGATGGAGCTCTAACACATAGCTAAGTGACACATAATGGCAGTGGTGCTGGCCTGTGGAATGAGAGGAACAAAGGTGCACACATTCTGTTTTCCCCAAGGAAGGGTGTTCTACCTGCATCAACGCACCCAGTCCCTTGGATGGCGCAGAACTTCCAGAATTTCAGCTTCTTTGGAGTTCTCTGAGGGTGAATGCATGTATTCCCATCTAGGTAGGTCCAAAACAGAAGCAGAAAATATAATAATAATAAAAATAATACACATACCTCTTCACCAAATATAAATGAAAAATAAAACTTTGAGTAAAAAAAAAAAAGTCTTATATCTCTTTGTCTTTTATTTGCTGCTAAAGAAATAAAGTTTCTTAGTAATTCTTGAGCATACTTTGGCTAATATTAATATTTCAAAGCCAAAATACACTTTTGCTATAAACCAGGGTTTCATAAAGTATAGAATTTCAGCTGATCCATGGGCATACTTTTTTTTAGCTTGATACTCACGCATTTATTTTAATGCATTACTCTCTATTTGTGACAATAATATTGGCTTGCCTTTAATTCTCTCTGTGAAAAAATAAGAGTATAAAATTTAAGATTATAGACAAATATAGTCCAAATGGTTAAGCTGTAGTATGAGATCTGGCAAACACTGGTTTAGACCAGAGGTTGACAAACTTTTCCTATAAAGGGCCACATAATAAATATGTTATGCTTTGGGGGCCACATAAATATTAGTCTCTCGCATATTCCCTTTTTGTTTTCAACAATCCTCCAAAAATGTAAATTTCATTCTTAGCTCAAGGGCTGTACATAAACATACCACAGGTGGATCTAGATTTATCCTGAAGCCTTAAGTCTGCAGACTTCTGGTGCAGACTTATAAGCAGCTAAAAATGACCTGTTGTGTTAATGGAATTCAATTGAGCAAGGGACTGATTTATAATCTACCCTTATCTGCAGCTTGGAATGTGCATTATAATTAGGGGCCAGCAGCTGTCAGGTAGACTGAGGCCTTAAAAACCAGGCTCTACTTTTAATTGCATCTTGCCTCTAGGGTGGCAGGAACACCTAACAGCGATGTGAGTGAGCTTCCAGCCCAAACCATGAGATCCTAAGAACAGTTAAATAGGATGGAGACAATGCCATTCTGAAAACAGTGACAACTGTAGAGGGTACTGATCTCATGAGGCTAGATCTAAACAGCAGAATGATGCAAGGCAGACCTTCAACACCAGCCAGAAGTTCATTCTTTTTTTTTTTTCTTTAATTGAAGTACAGTCGACTTCTAATGTGTTAGTTTCTGGTGTACAGCATAGTGATTCATTTATACATATAAATTATATAATATATATTATATATTCATTTATACATATATATTATATATACATATATTCCTTTTCATATTCTTTTTCATTATAGGCCATTACAAGGTATTGAACATAGATCCCTATGCTATACAGTAGGACCTTGTTGTCTATCTATTTGATACACAATAGTTAGTATCTACAAATCCAGAACTCCCAGTTTATCCCTCCCCACTCCCTGCCCCAGCTGGTAACCATAAGTTTGTTTTTTACATCTGTGAGTCTGTCTCTGTTTTGTGAACATTCTTATTTGACCACTTAAACTCATGAAGAGAAGATTCTAGCTCTTCTAAAGAAAGGAATGGTAATTTTTTTTCCTGATCTTTTCTATTACAGTCTAGATGCACACCATTCTCACCTTCTCATAGCCAAGAGTCAATTATAGATCTTTATTAAGCTAATAGTGCCAACATAAATAGATCTTAAACTTCCCTGCAGAGATTTAATTAACTTTTACAGAAGTGCTCCCCAGTAGCACGTAAAGCACAGCGAGAATGCTGAGCATCTGACATGACCCTTCATGCTTTCAAACAAGCTTAATACTTCATAGTGGAGAATAAGACTTTTCCCCACAAGTGTCATCAATTCTAACAAAATTAAGTTTAAAAACCTGATACGTTCAAATAGGTTTGCTTTGCCCACAGCTCTTCCTAAAAAATTACCAAGTAGGGAAGGTCCGTCTGGCTCCCTAGACACACAGCCCACCCTATCTTCTCACTCCCTGTTCTCACACACAAAGCCATTATCATTTATCCCGCTGTCTCTTAAAAAAAAATTTGATTTTCGCTAATTCTTTGCCTGTGATTTTCTTATAAAGTCAGCAAAGTCAAAACCAATCAAGTCTTTAGGTAAGACATTTGCCGTGTTGAGGTTCATGTTTTGTGGGGGTTAGAGGGCCAGAGGGTGGGAAATAACTATTAGGATGAGTTATTCTTACCGGGCAGTTAGAGGTAAAGACATCAAGATGCTTTCTATCCTGGATCCTGGGGTGAAGAGGCCAAACTTTGTACCTCGATCATACAGCAGATTAAATTCTACATACCTGAGATAAAGACATTAAATAAGATTAAGAGCTGGCTGAGTAAAATCCTTCTTAAATTTGTCCATAATGAATGCTTAAAGGAGGGTGTCTTCCCACCAACCCTCACCCAATCAGCTGGAACTGGCACAGGAGACACCAGTCTAGTCAGCTGAGTTGTCTCCATCTGGACAGGCATCAATAAAAGGGTATTCTATCCAATAAACAATAGGATACAGATTCAGCCCCAACACAGAGCAGTTACAAAACAAAAAGGTTATGTTTTCCAATAAATAAATAGAATGAATACAAAGCTTAGAACTTGAAGGTCCAAAAACAATTAAGAAAAGGAAATGGCACCCCTCAACAGGACAGAGCAGCTCTTTCTGGCCCTTCCCTACAGTCTGAGATGTTTCAGAGTCAAAGACTTCACTTCACTGCCAATAACTCACACGTACTGAGACAGTGAAAACTCTTGTAATTGAAAGGCCAAGTACAGAGAAAAGCAATGTATTAGTAATTCCTGATATATTCTAGATATTCCCTTTTCTTAAAATAGTAAGTAGCACTAATAAGCAGTCATATAATTCAGTCTTCCTGCAGATTAATGGCAAATGTCATAACAAAAGGTAGCGGTTGAATTATGGTGTTTAGTTTTATTTTCTCAGAAAAAGATCCTTAACATCAACTAACTCGGCTCAGTGTATTAGTTTTCCACTAACAGCCATCAAGTCATATCTAACCTCGATCTAGCTTAAAAATCTGTGACTGCCTTGAATATCATGAGATCTTTTCCCCAATTTCGAAAAGGTAATTTCTACTACCCAAAAGAATTGAGAATGATCCATAAATCTGAAATTTTCAATAAATTGTTCCCCTTTCATATCATTCTCAACTCACTTGAAAACTACTCTCTTGGTCAAAACTTTCCTCAGATATTATCATTTATGCACCAGTTATTATACTTAACACTAGAGAAAAATATCACAACTAGAGAAAAATATTCTCTAGAATCCCACAGGACTGCAATTTTTAGAAAGCCTCCTTCTCTGTGGAAACTTGCAAAAGCTCTGAGAAAATTTAAATAAATTACATTCACACATTCTTTTCTAGTCCTCACCATTTATTTACCATTGATTGAGTTCTGGGCACTAACAACTATTTAATACCTTCTTATGCCTGTTTCAAAAGATAATTCAAATGAATGTTCTTAAATTCTTTCTCATCGAGACCATGGAAAACACCTTCAGTCTCTCAGCCCCCTTTTCCATCCCCGATGTCACTCTTTTGAAATGTGATATTTAAAGGATGGCTGTGATTCTGTAGTTTATACAGAAGTCTTTTTCAAAGACCCTTGTCAGGAGCTTCTGCAGGACCTTGTGCTGCATTTCTGCTTTGAGTGAATAATGTTCCTTTCCCTCCTTTAGCCTCTCTTGTCTCCCATCAGGTTTCATTTAGAGCTGATCTTTCTGACCCTTTCCATACATTTATCCTCTCCGAGGTACCTGTAAACTCTGAACCTTAACCGTTCTCTTCCATTTAACTGATACCAAAATTGTATCCTGTTTCCCTTTTCCCAAATACAAAACAACAAGTTAAAGATCTTTAGTTTCTGCCCTCCTATGAAAAAGACAGCTATAAGGTGGGAGGTTCCAGGTCTGGGGAGAGAACAGCAGTGACGGAGGACAAGAGACTGAGATCGCCAAAGAGGGGACTGTAAAGTCAAAAGGGAAGCAGCCTGACCACAGCAGGGGAAAGGGAGGAAGTGGGGAAGAGTAATACAGATAGCAGGTTATGAATGCCATGTAAGAAAGTGAAGACAGCGCTGATAACCGCAGCAAAGAGCTGGGGTTATCCAAATCCCCAGAGTTGACTGCCATTTTAAGGCCCAGAGATAAAGTGGGGTAAAGGGAGCCTCTTTCAAAGTACAGTCACCCACCACACCACAGAAAATCAACCTAACACCCCACACCTCTGCCCAGTTCAAAGCACACTGACAAGCAATGATACACACAAATGAAACTTGCAAAGTATTTTCTCAATTAAAAAGTGAAAAAATAAAACCCAAAACAAAAACCAAAACATCATTCCTATGTCTAAGAAGTTGTAAAGGCTTCACTTTATTGGTATTCACAAAGCCCGAGGCTCCGCATATGAAATCCCATGCGAAACTAGAACGCTGCACTTTCCACAGAGCTGTAAACTGTCCTCTTAGGGCCGTCTTCCCCACTGAACTGTGAGCTGCTTTCCCAGCGTGGTGCCAGCTGCTAGGGGCACGTGATAAACACCAAGTGAAAGGAAGGAGTATTAACGTATATTGGGGGAAGTCAGGGAACCCCAAACAAAAAAGTCCCAAAACAGATGCATTGTTTAAGAAATTTCTAACAAGAAAACAATCAATTCTCATTTTCCCAAGTTTATAAATGGGAGGAGCAGACAGGCACAGGCAGACCTAAGAAAGTAGAAACAACAAACTTTCACCTTTAGACTTGGAACATTTTCAGGGCACTAGCCTTAACTCCTTTGGTATTCAAAGCTTCATATGCTTGAGACAGAATTAACATAAATGAGAAAATCCATTTTATAGCCTAGACAAGTAGTATGTGTGAAACTCGGATGGCCATGAGAAACCGGTATGAGCCGGAAGAGTGGAAAATTTGGAGATAATTCACAATCATACCCCAGCTGAAGATGACCTCATGCTGTTCACCCAGCCGAGCTCACGGAGCTCAGTGCACAGAGTTGGGTGGCTGATGTGAGCATCGTGGTCAGGCACGTGAACCTGCTTCAACTACTTAACCTCCTTCACATACGGGAAAACCTGCAAGTTCTGAAGTCATGATGACATAGTTCCACATCTGGGATCTTTTATTTACCAGTTGTGTAATCTTGGGCAAAGACTTACCTTTCTAAGACTAAGATTTATCATCTGCGAAATGATGATGATTACACCAGGCTCACAAGCTTGTGGAGAAAATTAGGTGTAAAGTGCCTGACATGTGGCTGGCCAGCATACAGTAAGGGCTCTATAATTAGTAAATGTTACCACTCAGTGTAAATAATTTCTCAAATGATTATTTTCATTAAAACGATTTCCAGGAAACCTTAGAGATGAACGAAAAAGGTGTGATTCCAAATTCACAAAGCAGCAAAAACATTAAATGATGCCCTTTATCTTGGCCTAAGGCTAGAAGGTAGAGAGAGAAGACAAACTACAAGAAATTAGATTCAGCAAGTACTTACTACATGCCCAATATGCGTCTCTAATGTATAGACAAATTTTGCTCTTTTTATAATGCTATTTTACACAATTTTAAAATTCACTTAATAGTCATCTAGTTATGAAAAGAAATTACAGTGAGTATTAATACAGTAACTCTGACCAAGCATCTGCCTAAGGCAATACACTACTCACTTTTATTACGACTGCCCCACCTCCCCCAAGCCCCAGCTGAGTTCTGGAAGAGACAGTTCATTCTCCGGTCGCTCACTCACCGTCCTCTCCGGAGCTGCTGCCACAACTTCTCCTGGGGGGTGAAGGAGTCATCACAGTGCTTTTTCACAAGGGGAATGTAAGAAGGAATGACAGCCTGGGCACAGCTCTGCACAAAGTGAAACACCTCTTCTTTGGATGGAGAGTCAAGGTCATCAAAAAAGATACCCCCGATGCCCCTCCGCTCCCCACGATGGGCTATAAAAAAGTAATCGTCACACCTGGAAAACACAGCAAAGCCGAATCAGGGACCAAAAAGGAAAAAAGAGGAAAACACGAAAATCAATGTGAGCGTTTCAGCTTAGAGCACTATCCTCAACTACTAAGGCACAGTGACTTTACTTCCAGTCCAACTCTGAAAATAAAACTGGGGCTTTAGACAGATTCCCTGCAATTATCACCAACATAGAAAATGCTTTCATTCGCAAACCAAGTAGGCAATTTAACATATGTCTATCTAAAGGATGTGGCACTCTGAGACCTTTACTGAAAAGGGAAACAAAGAGTCTAGCACTCATACTTTATCTTTTGAAACAAGGGATGCTGCTGTCCTCAGAAGCATTTCTGTCTAGTCTGGGACCTAGAGAGTCAGGGAAAGACAAATACTCTGTTATCACTTATATATAGAATCTAAAAAATAAAACAAAGAATTTATGTAACAAAACAGAAACAGACTCATAGATATAGAAAACAAACTAGTGGCAACCAGAGGGCAGAGGGAAGGGAAGAAGGGTAATTCAGGGGTATGAGATTAAGAAATACAAAGTCCTATGTATAAAATAAATAAGCTACAAGGATATATAGGACAGCACAGGCAGGGAAACATAGCTGCTATTTTATAATAACTTTAAATGGAGTATAATCTATAAAAATACTAAATCACTATATTGTATACCTAAAATTAATATAATATTGTAAATCAACTATACTTCAAGTAAAAAAATTAACTAAAGGGCAGCAGATGCTTATCTGTAGAACTGATGCACTGGTGTAATTCACCTCAATTGTGACTTGCTGGCTTTCCTTTACATGCACATTTTATTAACATAAAGTGTATCCCGAGCCAAGGCTGTAAAGTCTGCTTTAACTGAATCATATTATTTACAAATCTCTTCATGAGATTACAAAATTAAGAGATTTACCAGGTACTTTTACTAAAAGCTTTTTAACTAGACTGCATCCTAGATATTCTATTAACAGTACTCAGATAAAGTCATCTTAGTAATAACAATAAAAGGAAACCAAAAAAAGGGAATGTCTACCCTCCAGTCCTCCTCCTGGAAGGATGCTCATTTGTGAGAAAAACCACCCTTTGTCTTACATCTATGCGTCCATGGCTGTGAAATTTTCAGTGGTAATGCCAACTCAAAAGGAGATTAACTGAAATGTTTTCTCTTTTCTGAGGATTTTAAAGCTAAACTCCATGCTCTTACACAAATACATCAAGATTTCAGTTATTAGCTCTAAAAGCAAAGCGAAAAAAAAACCCAACATCCTTTTCTGTTCTTCCTTTTTCAAGAATGCCAATTAGTGTCAAGCAGCGTTGAGTACTTCATCCTTATTCTGAACAACTCTATGCACAGACTCCATCTCACATCTACCAAAGAGCCAGGGTCTCCTCACCACTTGTTTATTTTTCTTTTCTTCATCATCCGAGTTTCTTTCACAAAGTTTCCAATCCTAGTTTTCTCCTTGTTCACAATCTCTGGTACATTTGCATCTCTCCTAACAGTTCTCCAACCTGCACCCTATGCCCTAACACATTCCTATGGAAACAAGATGATAATTCTCTTTAATATTCTACCCTAAGATTAAAAGGCCTCTGATTCACAGGCATAGAGCACCTTCAAGTTTATATCCTAAATCATTAGGATCAAAAACAGTGCTGCTACCCAATTTTTAATCACAGACATTCAAATATTCCTAACAAAATAACATATTAAAACCACTTAAAACTAGTATCCCACTTTTAACAGGCAAAGAAAACAGTTCAACCTACATCAACTGAGAAAGGTATTCAGTGACATAGTAGTGCCTTCAGGATCTACAGAAGGAATGGACAATACTTCAGGGGTCACAAGTTCAATATCTTTACCTACCATTTTTTAAATTTGGGGTAGAGATCTGGACCATGCTGGTCACAAGCCTCCTTTAGAGTCCTGTGAAAATGCACCGCATCCTCTTGGTTCAAGTATGTTGGGGTAAGGTCACATCCACCACCAAACCACCACTGCTTGTTACCTACCAAATCAAGACACGTGATTCCGACGTGAACTCAGATGCAGCACACTACTCAAAAGGAAAGTTAAATACATTGACTTTAAATGCCATCACCAGCAGAGACACCAACAGGCGTGGCATGCGCTGCACAGGTGCTCTGACAGGGTAACAGATGGCCCAGCTGATGGGCAACACAGGCTGCAGCTACCTGTGCATCCTGAGGCATGACCAACTGCACCCCAACTTTAAACCCACTGGTAATGCACTGACGCCTGGCAAAGCCACGTATGTGGAAGACAATTTCCAAAAGCAAGTTCTCAATGTCAACTTAATCTTCCACATGAGGTTTTCATTTGGATGTAATGAATTTGTATTTGTAAAAAACCCTGTGCACACTTTAAGTTCAGTTTCATTAAATCATTCCTTCTGTGCTGGAGGAAATATGAGGACGTCAGAGTCCAGCCCAATACCACTTTCACTTTTCACCCCTTGTGCACATCCATTGCACCTGCCAAGGAGTAAGCCTTCGCATTCCTCCCAAAAAGTCTCATTAAGATTGTATTCTTTCTTGATTTTAGATGTTATGCCCTCTAACCTGTGTTAGCAGACATTTTGCACAATAATACTTTCCACAGCTTCAGAGACCCTTACCATCAGCTTCTTCTACTTCAAAGTATCTGTAGTTGAAATGGATAGTAGGAGCATGAGGATTCTTAGGGTGGATAACAGAGCTCACACCCATAGCAGAAAACGGCAATTTACCTGGAAAATAAAACAGGTAATGAGCTGCACTCGATCACCTGACTTGATATAAATTAACATCTGAATCAATTTTCAAAGGCTACTTATTAATTTGTCTCTTAAAATACATTTTTAAAAGGTAATTGGGAACAGGCTTATCTGGCATATGGACCCAAATGGTATTTTACAGAAGCAATATTGACTTTACCAATAAAACTTATGCGGAGAAAATGTTTGCAGGGACTATTAGAGGCTGCTAAGATTGTCTGACGTACCATCTTTCGTCTTCAGTATTTTTCCTCTGCTTCTCATTTGTTTTGCTGCTTCCTCTGAAAGATTTCCATGAACAACAGAAATGCTCACCCCAGCCTTTTCAAAAACACGCCCGTCTTGAAGTACACAGCTGATGCCACCACCTCCTGTTTAGGAAAATGTAGTGAGAAGAGACTGTAAGAGTATATGCAAAACTGAGAACAACCGTTGCATGAAGGTGGTGGGATTAGGAGTTATTTTCCTCTATTTGCCAAATCTTCCATAATTCCAGTATATTTATCATTTTAAATACAGTAAAACCAGACAACCAGCTTAGTTTCATGACATGTGCTACTGACCGTGGGCAAATATTTTATGTCCCCACATGACCAAACTGAGTATTTCTCCTATATCCTTATGTCATCATCTAAAATAAATCACTGGATTATTTTCCCTTCAAATAAGACCATTCAGAATGGCATCTGTTGGTTAGGATACGTGAAAGAAAGCAAAGGTTAAACACTGGAGTATATTTGAAGAGTCCTATTACCAAACTTAAGAGCCCCATATTGTTTCAGTTGTGTTTTTCTCATTGTGCTATTTGCCTTTGGCTACAGGTGATTAATAAACAGTAGATATTTGAAAGCTTGAGGGATTCAGAAACAAACTGAGTGAGACACATGAATATTTAAGTATATGAGCTTTTCTATTAGTAGCTGGTTTGCTTGTTTTTTTAAGATACTAGAGTAACCACAACAGCAACTGTTTCATGAAGCTTCATGTCTGGCTTGTTTTAGTTCTAAGAATGTTCAGAGCTGGATGAGACATAAGATGATCCAGGACAACCCTTGTGGATTTCAAACGAGAAAACGGAGGCCCAGAAAGGCAAAAGAACTTCTCCAAAACATACAGCTAACAAGTGGCCCAACAACTTGTCTCCATGCTTTTTAAGAGTCAAATAATATTTTTGGCCCTTCACGTATATTCATCTCATCTTATCCTTACAATACCCTCATACAGTACTTATAATCTTATTTCATTGATGAGGAAACAGAGGCACAAAAAATAACTTCTGAGGGTCATACAGCTAGTCTAGTACTTGAGTTTGCATCCTGGTTTAACAGCGCTAACATTATGAGATGGAAAATGCTATGAAAACCAGATTTGACTTCATTTAATATAAATAGGCAGCCGCACAGCCCAAAATCGCTGATGAAAGATGCTGTAGTATTCCCAGGAAAGAGGAATCAGAAATCCTTTAAGTTTACGACCAAGATGTAGGGTTTCACTGCCCAGGCAATAACATAGTTATGAATATATATTTGACACTGTAAGAACTGGATTTTAATACTGAATTAAATTCAATACTGAACTCGGTTTGAATACAGATTTCCTAGCAGGAAACCTGATGGGTGCATTTGGCATAACTACTGACAAGCCAAGTATTTCTTGTGTAACCTGGGGAAAAGACACAATGACAATAACACCCTCAGCTGGAGGAGTCCGGCTAATACTCAGTAAAGAGTTGACTTTCTTTTCCCATTTCCAAAGGAGGAGAAAGGGTCAAGGCACCCAGAGAAGCGGATGAAATGTGGAGAAAATCTATGCTCAATTACAACCTTGGACATCCAAGTCTGTTGGATAAAACTGATCTTAAGACTTCTTTAAAAAATGCCATTAAAAAACTGCAAAGATTTTGAAATGTCTAGTACTAGAGTGCCAGCACATCCAGGTCCACACCTGCAAGCTGAGGGCTGATGACCCTTTCGGTGTCAATCTTTTGAACTGTGTCCCTTTTAAACTAGCAGGCGCTCTGCAGGAACCCCTTCCTTACTCCCATCCCCAATTCTAAGTCACTTTCTGCCTGGGACCTAAAGCCTGGCCTCTTTTCCCATCTCCACCTCCCGCCAGGGGCCGACCTTCTCACCTTCCTTCCTCTCCCACCGGTCCACAGAGAAGCGGGCGCCCCCGTCCACCTGTGCCAGCGCCTGGCACACCTGGGCCTGGGTCTCCAGGATCAGCAGCTCCATCTTGGTCTTCATGTCTCCCGGCCTCCCCCTCAGCTCGCGCAGGTCGGTCACAGGCAAAGCCATGAAGCAGCTGCAGCGGCGGGCCAGGTCGTCGTCCTCCTCCTCAGGCTTCCCCGGCGGGGGGCTCTGCGTCCCCGAACTCTTGCGCACCATCTCTGCCCGCTCCACGTGCCCAAAGGCGGCGGCCGCCAGCCCCGCCAGTCCGGCCAGCCCCGCGGCCAGCCCGGTCCTCAGCCGGGGACCACCTCGCGTCTTCGGGCCGTGCCCCAGCCCGCGGCTCTGCTCGGGGCCAGCGGTGCCAGGGGGCCGGCAGAGGCGTCCCGCCGCGCTGCGTGGGGCCCAAGCGCGCAGCTCCCCGCAGCAGCCCCGCGCGGCGCGCCAGCAGGGGCCCGCGCTCAGCCTGCCCAGGTGCATGGCCATGCTCCCGTGCTGTCACCCTGGGCAGTGCCCGCGTCCCGGAGACCGGCCCCGGAGCCGCTGGAGTCCCGAGCGGTGAGCGGCGGACCACACTAGAAGAGGGAACCTTTGCGGGGTAAGAGCTACTACCGGGTCGGCTTCCCGAGGGGTGGGAGGCGGGGCATGCTGGGAGCTGTAGTCGCCGCTCCTATCGCCGCCTGCAGGAGCGCCGCGCCAAGGAGATAAAGAATCCACGGTCCCCAGGGGCGAGGCCGACGCGGAGAGAGCTGCGGTGCGGAGGTAGGAGAGGGCAGTGGAAGCGAAGGCGGAGATAAAAGAGGCTTTTTTGTCACGTATAACCTCTGGTCTGCGGTGCAACCAAACAGGGAGAAGACAAAGTAGAGCTGGATTCTGAGGACTAACTGGGGCAGATATCTGGCCAGAGACCCCAGCCTCGACTTACATTTTAAAACACAGGTGCAAATCCTGGCATGTGTATGGATAGCCAGCCCTTTGGTCCCCGGTTCCAGCCCTCTGGAGCTTCTAGAAAGCTCGTAGGCTTGGTGGGGGCGGAGCCTGGGAAACTCCTTCCCCGAGGGCGGCTTTTTACAGGGAGTCAGAAAAGTTGGTTAAAGGGCTCCTTAGAAAATCCTAGGAAAAGACTTTCTGGAATCAACTCCACGGCACAGTTATGTCATTAAAACCTTCCCAGGCTGTGCTCCTACAGCGCCCATTTATTTTAGAACTAAGAAAGCAAAGACTGTTTTACTAAACCAGAAGAAAACTCATGACTTGGTGTGTTTGACCAAGGAATAAGATTTAAAAATATTTATTATCCTACAGTTGTAGGATGCTGCCAAGTATTTCCCACCTTTAGTACTTACAACTCTTGTAGACTAGGCAGTACAAACATTCACACTCCTCCTCTCCTCACGCCCTCCCCTCCCCCCGCACCCCCCCCACCGGCCCCCAGCCACCCTGCGCTTCTCCTCACTTTAAAGAAACGAGGAAGAAAGCTAACATTTAATAGATTTTTTGTTGTTGTTCCTGTAACCATACCACAGTTCCATGTTGTCTGGAAATACAAGTTTAAGAATAATTCGTGAGCTAATTTGCCCCCTAAGTCTCCCGGATGATTTTAATGTCTAGTGAATAATAATTAAAGCCACTGGTGGTGGTTTCTACAAGTTTTTTCTTAGTGGCTAGGTGCAGTGATGGAACTTCCACGGCTGTGGGTCAGACCAGTTGTTCAGGGCAGTGTGTTTTATCTGTCCATACCTGCACCAGTAGCTCTCATGCAGGAGCACCCTGTTAGCTGGGTGGACAAGCTTGACTCTCTGGCAGATTCAATGAATGATAAAGTCCTGGATTAATAAGTGAATAAACTACTTTGGAGGAAGTTTTAGCCATGCCATGGTGGAACTTGCTGGGAGGCTGAGTTGGCAAAGGAGAGGAAAGATAAGCTCTATCGCTCTCTAATATGGCCCACTGCAAGGAATGTAGGGGCTGACTGAGCACCAGAGGGACCAAACCCAGCCGGAAGCCTGGCAGGTCTTTTGGCAGGGGAGACGCCAGCACTGAGGAACCTGGAGAAAGTTTGGCCCTCAACAGGGAGAGGGAGGGTCTGGGAGCCCCATGTGCCTTTCAGAACAAGGATGGCTTCACCTCCCGCCATTGCCATCCTTGACACTCCTGGGCTGACTTAGCATCTTCTCCACCTCACAGCCCCCATGCTCACCCCACCTAACACTTGTCCTACAGACAGCATATCTGTCCACCCTGCTAGGCTGTGAGCTTCCTGAGAACAGGGTCTTTTTATCCCCAGAACCCACCACAGAGCCTGGCTTGTGACGGGCTCTGAATGTTTATAGAATGAATGAATGGAGGGCAGTCTGAGCAGGAGAAACTTCCAGGTGTTCGAAAAAAATCAAGAAGAAAGTGCTGTGAGGCAGTGAGATGTAGGGGTGGGCAAAATGGACAAAAGGGATCAAAAGGTACAAACCTTTTGATAATAAGATAAATAAGTCATGGAGATGTCATGTACAACATGATGACTATAGTTAACAATACTGAATTGTATATTTGGAAGTTGCTAAGAGCATAGATCTTAAAAGATCTCATCACAAGAAAAAAATGTTTAACTGTGTGGTGATGGGTATTAACTAAATATTGTAGTTATCATTTTGCAATATATACATATACCAAATCATTATGTTGTATGCTTGAAACTAACGTATATGCCAATTATACCTCAATTAGAAAAAACAGCAAAAAAGACCAATCACTCTAGGGGGTTTGTTTGCCTCTTGTACAAGGCTGCGATAAGGTTTGACTGAGCCTGGTGGTGATAAATGAACTTCATTAATGAGAAGGAACTTCTGTGGCCCATTTTTCTTTAAGAACTCCCTTAATTATCTTGCTCCAATTCTGAGAATACTCATACGGTTCGTAAAAGATAAGCAGGCACAAGCTGTTTTGAACATTTGCCAAGTCAGATAGGTTGGTCTGGAGCCCACTGTGTACTAGTTTCCAGGCTTCCATCCCCTCATCCTTAGCCTCTCTGTGCACATGGTCTCTCTCATTTCCTCCTCTGGTTTCCAGTGTCTTCCCTATCCTCCCCATATTATGCTACATTTAAGAAAGACATTAACAGCCTGATTAGTGTGAGTTTAAATCACACTTCCTAATGGGCTCAAATTGTCCCCAAGGAAGATACTTGTATTTAAGCCTTATTTGTCAGTGTGGAGTAAAAGGCATCCCCTACTCAAGCAATTTCAAGCATCAGAAAGCCAGCAGGGACCACTCATAAGTTTACGGTAAGTTGTAAAACAAGGTGTATAGTAGAGTTTCCCTTCCTTTTTGGACCCAGTTTCCTGCTTTGCTTTATGGTCTGGTGACCCTGTCAGCCAAAAAGATTTTGACTAGCCTTATACAAACTGACAAGGTATAGGAATATTAAGTATCATTGTTCAAACTCCACTTGCTTTCCAGAATCCTTATGAACTTGACTCCTCACTGCCCCAAAGACCTGTTGAACATAAATGCCTTTAGCCTATTGATAGTATATTAGTCTGCTCTTTTCTAAAAAATTAATTAGAAGGGATTCTGACATCCCTCTGATAGCTTTACTGCCTTCTAACCATGCACACACACATAATTCCCACTACCTTTACTAAATTGTACTATTTTCACCAACTCCCAAGTTTTAAGAGCCAAACTTAAGAAATATTTTATAAAATGACTTAGTTCTGTTACTTTCAGCTAGATACAGAATCTCAGGCTAATTATTAACAAAGTACTATATTACCAAATAGATATGTTTACCTTGGCACACTGCTGCCAGTTTATCAGAACTTCTAGTGGGAATGGTTGTGGGGTGATAATAGACTAGCAAAGAAGTGGAATTTTTGAGGTTTTTTTTACTCTATTTTGTCCTAGAATTTGCATTTTAAACTTTTGAATCTTCAGAGGCAAATATTTACATAGATCATTCATATAATTGGTTTTTAAAGCTAAATGTAGCCTAATATCCAATTCAATTTTGTGTTGCTGACTTGCTTTTTCTTTAACTGGAGTAATTTTAAAACTAGCTTTTCATAGAGGTATAGATACCACTCAAATATTCCAGAAAAGTTTTATAAAAGAGAAAAAGCCATGGTGCCTGCCCCTTAAGTCCTTTATGTTCTGCCTTTAGTGCTTCCTTTATTCTTCCCTATAGTAATATGCATGTGATATCTGGAGCTGCAGCAACCATTTTGTGACCAAGATTTGGAAAGTCTCATGAAAAAAGTTTGCAGAGCAATAAGATAGAAGATGGCTGGGTCCTGATGATATTCTTGAGCAGATGCATCAGCCCTCAGCTGCCTACCATTAGAGTTCTTATTATAGGAGAAGAAATAAATTAAGGTACTTGTTGTCAGGTTTTCTTTCACTTGCAGCTTATGTCTTTCTAATACTCTATTTCTTCTTTGTTCAGATGTCCACCCTGGAACCAGTCAAAAATGGCTAGGGTAGGAGATGGGATCATGTTAGAACACAAGGAAACTCCCACTGTAATTAGTGTTGGAGAGAATGAGTGGTGATTGTGGGATGTGATTTCTAGAAAAGGGAGATACGATGAACAGACAATATCATAAGTGCCTACTTTAAAGAGAAATTTTTAAGATGATTCCAAGTATTGAGCCTGTAGATCTAAGATTACCAAAAATATGAAATGCAGAAAGAAGAACTAGCAAGTATAGAGGGGACAGGAGGGAATCACTTTGATCCAGACAGTTTTTTAAGAGTTGTTTCCACCAATTTAGCCAAAGCTCTCCAAATGTCCATTTGCCTGGGTACAGGGTTTTCCTGGCCACCCAGCCCTTTACTATACAGTGCTCTCCACATCCATTCTAGGAGGCTTAAGAATATCGTGGGTCAACTGAAAAGGGCGAGGGTCATTTGGCAAAATATTAGGGACAAAGCTTTGGGATATATGCAGGTGTTTTCTGTTAGACAATCAAGAAACTGTGGGCATTGTGCTCTGTTGAGTAGTGCTTATCAGACAGAAATAAGAAGACATGTAACATTGCCCCTGGGTACCGCCTCCATGACAATTTCATGGCACTTGCAACCAGTGATATTTGCAGAAGAAATGCAAAGCTGCTTCCACTTGTGGCATGGAGAATTCATCTCATCAGGTGGACTAGGATGCTCTCCTGGAAAATACACGTTTAAAACCTATTAACTTAAACTCATCAACACCTTTTTAAGCTTAGGAGTCAAGAAGTTGGTTCTCTGTTCTTTGTATCTATCTAGAGTGGCCTTTTCTCCCATGTCTAACTGTTTAGCTAGGACCAGGACTTGGTTCTAGAAGTGATGGGGAGGAATAAATGCAAAGGAAGGGAAAAACACATTTATAATACTTTCTCTTACTGCAGACACATTGAACTTGAGATGCTGGTGGGTTGTGTAAATCTAAGTATGGATCCAGAGAGAGGTAAGGACTAGAAGAGGGAATTTGTGACATATCCACAGCTGGAATGATGAAAAGGTCACAGAACTTTTAGAACAAAAGGTAAAGAGTTCAAAGTCAGAAGACAGGGCACCAGACACATTTAGGGACAAAAGAAACAAGAAGTCTTAGGACCTTTGGTTCTATGTCCCAGAAGCATGGGGGAGTAGGGGGCATCAAGGAGAAGAGTGTAGCCAGTGGGCAGAGAGCTGCAATTTCTGATCAGAGAACATAAGTGCTGAGTACTTGTTGCTAGAAATTATGAAGTCACTGGCTGCCTTGGATTCAGAGCTTCAGAAAACCAGAGAGGTGGCAGCTAAATTGAAAGAATATGTAGAACAATAGTAGCTCAGGATGGGCAGTTATAAGATTGATCTTTTGTCTGAGTTGGAAGACTTGAGCATGTTTTTGGTTTTGGTTTGGTTTGGTTTGCTGAAAGGAGTGAGGGAACACAACCTAAAAATGCAAGAATGTGCGCTACTAAGAGACCTCATGGCCAGCCCAAGTTTTATTTTCTTCGCTCCTTTTCCCAAATTGAACCATTCAGCCTCCATTCTGAGTGCACAAAGGTCAAGAGGAATGGGAATGAGGACTGGGGCAAAAGATGTAACACTTTTGGTCCTAATATATGTGCCTTCAAGGGACCTGGCTTTCTTGCTCCAAATATTTGACCTCACTGTCATCCTAACCAGCTCCCGGGCAGCCTTAATGTCCTAGCCTCAGTTGTTATCAAAGGGTTATGAGAACTTTGTTGGGTAATTATTCTTGGTCAGACTGAGTCCTGGATCATTCATCCTTCCTATGGACACTTATTTAGCACTTTCTTTGTGCTGTGTTCAAAACAACCTCATAAAAGATGGAAACACTGTTACTACCCTCACATGATGGATCAGAAACTGGAAGTTTAGGCATAGACCAAGCATAGACCCTGTTTCTAATCCTGTTAACATCACTCCACTGTTCTTCACCTGACCCAGAGGCACTGTCCACTAAAACTATGAAACCAATGTTTTCTAAATACCTACACCTTACTAGGAACTTCAGAGCCCGCAAAGGAGCTAGTAGCCTTCTCCTATCCTCCTAGAAACAGAGATTCCATTTGAGTTGCCAGATAATCTCTTTAAAGGAAATACCACGCAGGCAGTCCCCATTTTGCATGGTACTTTGGGATCATAAAAATGACCATACAAACAGAAGACAGAAAAATCAATCTTAAGAATCAGTGTAAAAAAATGATTGTTCTGTGATCTTTAAAAACATTTTGTCAAAACAGTAAAGATTTAGTTACTGTAAGTTATAAGTGAAAATATATCAAAACTGATATTTATTTAGTACACTGCAATTTAAAGCATTAGGAACATTCAGAATTAAAGTGTTTTATTTATTTGTACTTATCAAGAATAGTTTCAACAGTGCTTGCCTTTTTCTCATTGCATTGCTTACAATATGGAGTAAGTATCTTTTCTATGCCTTGGTGAATTGTCATGCTCCTTTATAAATTTGTAATCTAATATTTTATCCTTTGTGCTTTCAATGTTGTGAAATAGTTCGAGTTCCTTGAATGTGAAGCTTTTTGGTTGTTGGTTTTTGGTTTTTGGTTTTTGTTTTTACCAGCATCACTTCTTCTGGGACATCTTTATTTGGCTTATCATAACCACTTTCTTCATTATGTCAGTAAGTTCACCTTCACTAAGTACCTGTGCTTCACTTTATGTATCTACTCGGTTGGGCTATAGTGTCCAGATACTTGATTAAATCTTGAACCACGGCATTAGCTTTCCCCTGGATCTTCAGCCTGCTGGTCCACTCTGCAGATTTTGGATTTGCCAGCCTCTGTAATCATGTGAGTCGATTCCTTAAAATGTTTCTCCCTATGTATATGCACACATATCCTGTTGGTTCTGTTTGTCTGGAGAACCCTGACTAATACAATTCCTCTGGCTGATTAAGTGTCTCAAATGGTGGCAGTGATGACGTTTCCATGGTCAGCTGTTTCTTTCCTAGTTCCATTTATATTCAATTAGAATTTTACGTATAGTATTATTACTTTTTGTTTCTTTGCTGTAGTTGCATCTCTGTTGCCCAGTTACCTCTTTCAGTTATCCATTTTTGTAAAATGTCATGGGGTTTATTTATCACAGGTAGACAAGGAAGCCACATAGCTACCTACTTTGCTCTCTGCATAAACTGAATAACAGACGTGCAGTAACCTATCATCAACAGACTTTTAAAAGGGTATTGTGATTGGTCAGTGAACATTATATGCACCTGTTATTTATGTGGTGATCTGTGGACTGAAGAGCTAGCATAAAGTTTGCACTTAAATATCTCTACCCCATCTGTCTGTCTGTCTGTCTGTCTATCTATCTATCTATCTGTCTACATATCTATCTGTCTATCTAATGTGGTAACTGAAATTTGAATCGTTTGGGGGAACTGGTGGTGTTTAACTAAACATGGTAATTAACTGAAATTTGTGTATATCAAAGTCCATGAAATGCAAGAACTGCGTGTGTTTACTTTTGAACTGATTGTCTAGGTCCATAATTTATAAATCCATACCATGAAGGACCATAAAGCAAAGAAAATAGGTTCTCAGCTGAATTAGCAGCATCTTGGTAAAAATTCTATCATTTCATTAACCGGTATTCTTGAAATACTTGATATTTGTTTCCTTGCTTACTTTCAGTGAATAACTGGCTGCTGAGAGAATCACATTTAAAATGTCCGAATATAGAAAGTGGTTTGTGGCAGAGACAGCTAGTTTTCCACTGAAAGTCCATTCTCCCCTTCTTCCTTTGTTGATAGTTCTCCAGGTTTTGGTGGGGCATACAGCTGCCTCACTAAAGACTCCATTCACGTCCTCTCCTGAAGCTTATGGCCAGACTCTGGCCAGTGGGATGTGAGCACAGCTATTCCTCTGGGCCACTTCTAGGTTTGTCCTTAAAAGGAATGGATGTGTTCTTCCCTGGCCTTTTCTCACTGGCTGGGATACAGATGTGAGCCAGGAAGTGGAGCAGCTATTTTGAACTCAGAATGGAATCTGTGTGTTGAGTGTAGATATCAGAGCTACTATCTCTGGATAGTTATATCAGACAGAATCAACTTCAATTTGTTTTAGTCACTACATTTTGAGGTCTTTTGTTCCAGACAGTTAAGTCTAACCTAAAAGAACAACATGGATTGTGTCCTGTTGGGAAATAAACAATAGCCTATCAGAATAATACAAAGATTTATATACATCACACTGAAGAGTTAATGGATTCTCCTCCCTTCCAATCCTAATTTAAAAAGAATAAGAGAAAACCAGAAGACTCTAAGTTTAATCCCCTTCTGAGAGAATAAATTGAGCAGAACATGCTGAAGACAATTAATGATATAATGAAGCCACTATAGACAGGATGGTAAATTCTGCCACTTTTACAAAGTGGATTTGGTGTTTCAGATTTATCAGTTACTTTGCACCAAGGCTGTGAGCCTCTGTTCCTAGTAATCAGACATGCTGGGATAGACTGCCAATAACTAAATTGAATTTCCAGGAGCTGCTGAGATCTTATGAGAGACAGTTACCTGGCAATATTTATGCAATTCTTTTTGTGACAAAGTAAATTAAAGATAGGGTTAATTAGTTAAGTCATTGACCTTGAAATAATTTATTCCAATATAGTTCTTAAATTGTACATCTTGAAATGTGGCTCTTTTGTAACGAACAGATAAAAAAGGTCCGATTCAACGCCTACAAATGTGTAGGACTCATGTGTATACACTAGAGGGCACTCACCTCCTATTTTCTTTTTGAACAAAATTTACAATAATGGTTTTCAAACAAGAGTGTGAATCAGCTCAGGATCTTCTTTAAAATGTATACCCTTAGGCTATGAAGGGGCCTGTGAATCTGCATTTTGGTAAGAGTCTATAAGGGAGCGTGGTTGAGAGGCTGGCTTGTGGAGCCTGATTGCTAGGGTTTGAAACCAGGCTTTGCCACCTGTGAACTTAAATAATTATATTACGCAGTGGGCCATGGTTTCCTCATTTATCAGATGAAGTTAGAAATACCACCTGCCTCTTAGGATTGCTGTAATGACTAAGAGTTAGCCCAGAACATACTAGTTCCTGGCAATAAATATTCACTCCCTTATTATTTTTTAAGAAAGTCGTTCATTAATTTTGCTGCAGGGAGACTTGAGGAAATGGACTGAGAAATACGGACTGTTTAAAAAAGAAAAATGGAGACATTCTCAGTATTCTGCCCAGTCAGGCTAAGACTTCAGGTTCTGACCCCCAGCTGGCGTGATAGCAGAATGGCAGGAACTGAAGTTGCAGGGTGGAGAATAGAGCACGATGAGGCTGGTCTTTATATGTTCTGTCAGAGAACTTGTACTTTATTCAGAAGTCAGTGGAAATTCTTCTAAGGCATTAAGGCAAAAGATGGCATGATCAGACTTACATGAGATGATGACTCTGCAGGCAGAGCTGGGGACGGAATATGAGGGGTGAGGCTGGAGGTAGATGGATGGCGGAGCTCAGGTTGATACAGTGCTCTTCCTTTTCCATCCTAAGGAATGGTCTCCAGAAAGCATTACAATTATTCACATTAGTGATTCCAGTATTAACAATTTGGACCTTATAAATTCTTTCTTCTTAGGTCAAAATAGAGTTGAATTTATGATGAAACCCTGCCCCCACCCTGTACCATGCTTCACATACACTGTAGAGTTCATAGTAGCAAGCAGGCATCCTCCCTAGGTTTTGAGGCAGCCAGTCCTGCAAAGAGTCTTGTGAGCTATGCACTCACTATGTAAAAACTGAACTGCTGTCCACAGCACCAGAAGCTGAGAGGGGGGCACAGTCTGCATCTTGACTGGTGATCCTGTGGAGGTTGGGGTAGATTTCCAGGAACTGTGGCAGCTTTGAAGTGTCTGACCTACAAGATACTGAAATAAACTTCAGTTCTGCTCTATCACATCTGCAGCCAGAATGGGAGGAGCTGCCAGGGGGTGGGAGAGGGTGGAGGAGGAGGAGGAGAGAGCTAAGGTCACACTCTCTTCATTTGCCTAAATTCACCAACATGGTTCTGCTGCCATCAGATCAGCAGGGTCAGCGGTGCTGGGGAAAATAGCTACGTGAGTCTTTAGTTCCTGAGAAGTGACTGTGAATGCTTCTACGAGAAAAGAATCCATTAGGGGATTCCCTGGTATCCCCCTCTGCCAGGATCAGTTCCCACTTGTGCACTCAGCCAAGTCTTATATGTAAATCACCCACTTATCTAGTCACTGAGTTTCTTAGAAACATATCTGTTTCTAAGCCTCTCAAAACATGCAAAATGTAAGTAGATAAAACAGCTCTTCCCTCTGCTGTTAAGATTTCAGAATCATGAGATACTATCTTAGACTGTTTAGAGCTAGAAAGAATCTAATCCAGTGGTTTTCAAATTTGTTTTAGTATCAGATTCCTTCAAATGAAATCTTAGTAAGAAATTCAAAAAAAATTAGAGCAGAAAGCAGAGCTGCTTCTATTGAAGGGAACTTCTGGTTGGCGGTGCTTCTCCTGTTTGTCATACCTCCTACACCCTATCATGTGAGGTAATTCTTCGAATGCCTGGAACCTAGAGGAGCAAAATCTGAAAGTCATGATTAAACCAATTCTTCCATTTTACAGAGGACAAAAATGAGCCCCAGAGAGTTAGTAATTATTTGACTAGCGTGTAAAAGCAATTGGGTGATGCAGAGAAATAAAATTGGAGATGGTTGTTCAAATTCATGGTAAAGGATAGAGTTTGGAAAGGATTTTCTCAGTGGTTTCTTCAGAGTTGGATCAGTGAGTCAAGAAGAACAAGACAAACTGGAATGTGTGAGGGGCAAGAAGAAGGTTTAATTTAGATCCAGAGTAGGATTTCCAGTAGAAAGAGGTGCAAACTTTGGAACTTTGAAATCTCTGGCCCAGAATTTGTTCAATGTAGCAAAGCTGCTTATCTGTCTAGAGAGAATCAAAGGTACTTTTAATTACAGTCCCGCATTGTCAAGACCTTCAGTCCTGCCAACCGTTAGTCATCATCATCCTTGGCATTATCAGACATCCATTACAGGTCTTTACAAGTTTAACCCAGGGCTACTTTACCCCACTGGATATGGTTTGTGCAGATCAATAGTTTAGACAGGCAACAACATGGCAATTTCCTGATGACTCACAGGAGAAAAATACCCAACCTTTCTTGCTTCTGTTTCTGCATTTAAAAAATCAAACTCACAACTTAACCTGGTCCAGGAAGTGTCTGCCCACATGACTTGGTTCACTGTTGTGCTCAGCAACTTCTGTTGTTAACTTATATCACTGAATCTCTGTTCCTCACCTGTAAGGTGGAGATAATAAGAAAGATTTCTCTGTATTTGTGTGAATAAAAGAAAATTAGATACATGAGCTGTTTAGCACAGTGCCTGGCACATGGCAGTTATTTAAAAACTGTTAGTGTTTTCTCTGACATGGATCTCTGATAGACCAAGGTCAAATTAATAAGAATTTGAAACAAGGTAAATTTCTCTTTAAGTATCCTCCTGTATTTTAGAATCTGTTCTAATTTCTGGGTTCTGTTAATTTTTTTTTCTTCCCCTTTCCTCTTCCTTTTTCTTTTTTATTCTGGAATACAATGATCAACTTTCATTAGTGTGTAATCAAAATGTGTAATTTGTCTTTAGCCACACAATTTTTAGGATTGCTTGCCCTTAGACATTCACAGCAGAGGTGCTTGTTTCTCATGCCTTTTTCACCTCTAGATGGTTAGAGAACATTTTTAATTTTTAGTTAATACATTCTATAGTGTTGGTCAAGGAAAGTATCTCTGGAAAT